CGTATCTCTTATCTTGTGTATCTCGGTAAATAATGTTCGTGATTGTGAAGACAATTCGTAGTTCCCAAGGTGCCTGGCTTAATTAATGTGATAATTCTCTACTTTGTGAAGGACAGGGGCTTGAAGAATACTCCACTTGGTTTTTAGGATCAGGTGGCACACTCATCACGTGACTCTCCTCTTTAATTTATCTACGGAACCTTTCAGTTTGATAGCTTTCATCTTAAACGACCGGCAAGCACGCGGAGTCTCTGTTTTAAATTGCATTCAGTTGAAAGTTGATGCAATTTGCCCTAGTCAAATTGAACAAGATTGTTCCTTACTTTGTTTTCTTCAACTTTTAACTTATTTTGTTTCTACTCGTGTATAGTAAGATCTCTTTTCCTTCACTTAAATCGTTGGTCTTGGCTTCAAGCTTCTAAATCCCTTGAGGAGGAAAGGCGCATTGGAAACCACTCAGGATTATTGGTTCTGGTGTGTCATGGACCTTTTCGTAATTCCCAACGAATCTAAATCAAATTTCCCTTCGTGGTACAAAATATTGAGTCGACGCATGAATTATTTGGATTGAGTTACAAATTGATAACTAATTTCACAGAGCGAAGTCGTTCTTCAGAAAGTGATAGTCATTTGATCAAGAAATTACGGAACTTTTACGGAATAGACCTCTTGACATACCTGGACGTAGATGGGACAGCGCTGGCTCCGGACAGAGTCCAGTGACCGACTGTTGTGAGCAGGGTAATGAACCTTTTCGTTTTGTAAAATGGGTAGATTCTTGACCAGCCAAGGTAGGGGCCATTATCAGCTTATCGACAAGAACTTTGCTAAGTAGAGTTAATTAGATAATAGACTGCTATAAGATACATTTAATAGTCTACCGTCACCTGTTTGCCGACTTTACCAGTTCAGTGATTAGAACAGAATTATATCTCGTTTAAAATTGCATGTACTGTAGTTAAGCAAAGTCGTTAAGTAACTTCAGCTATACTTTCCGTCTATACAGTCGTTCCATTTAGGATACAGTAAGGAAAAAAATAAGAATACGAATTAATACTTCGAAAGACAGAAACTTCGAAAAGAACAGGAAAGAAAATACCACTTTTAATTATTATTTTTTTCGCTAAATGTTGTCTTGTCTGTAATCTCAGTTATTTTACCATTCCTTCTCGCCGCCTTCTTTCAATTCTTCGCCATCTTTCTTCATTGCTCTCTCCTCATTCCGGCTGTTCCAAGACGCTCCCAGTTCTTCTTCCCTTCTCCCATTCCTGTTCTGCCCTCGTACCCTTTATCCCGCTATTCATCCTGTTTAGTCTATTCCTGTGGGGAGGTCACACTAAACTGCAATAATTACGGCGGGGGCATGCTAGAAGGGATTACGCAGGCCACCACGTCCCAATTAATTACAGACGGCGCCACACTGGACCAACCCCTTACCTCTTAATCCGAAGTCTTAGGTCTGGGGCTTCAGATGAGGGGGGAGGGTGGGGTGTTGAAAAGAAAAAACGCTGTATAGTACGTTAACTGCGACATGAGTCGATGCAGAACATCACAGCGTCTATACCCCATACGCAGGGGGATTTTCTGTCCGAGATAAGAGATGATGTTTCCACTTATGCCACTGTGGTTACATGGAGAATGGGCTGGGGATGTATTTCGATTGTAGTCTAAGTTTCCGACTGCATTCATTTTTGAAACACAAAACCAAAAACATCGGCTTTCACGCAGACATTCATAAGTTTTCTTCCGGAACCCCCACATAGACATTTTTCATGGAAGTTTAGATCCGCCAGTAAAGAAAGAAGTAGGTACGTACGATATAATAATATAACTCATCGTGTAATACATGTCACCAATTTGCCTTTCTTAACACGATATTTTATTAAAATTAAATTATTTGGTTATTCCGTCAAATCACAATGTATTTAAATAAGATAATTAAAATAATTAAAATATCATTCTGTGTTCCTTATCGAATAATCGATTTACAATTGGAACAATTTACAACATGTTTCGGTTTTATTAAACCATCATCAGGTGTAAAATTATATTAAATTTAAAACTCAATTACAATTTTTTTACAATTTTTCGTAGTGTAGTTTTTGGAGGTTGTGTCCAGATATTTTCATATAATGGATCAACTTTATTGTTTGAAGTGATGCT